CCCATATGGCAGCATCCCTCAGTATTCTGGCGAGAATTGCCAGTGCCATGAACTGGGTCCCTGCAACACCTTGTAGGCTTTTGGATCTGGAAGTTATTCATTGGAGGTGAGTGAGAAGGCAGAGCATCTATTCAGTTAAAATTCAGTCAAAGCATTTGGATTTTGCTTGGTTCAAATTCTACATGGAGGAGAAAAAAAAAAAGCAGAAAAAGCAGGGAGATAGCAGAAAAAGGAAAAAATATAAATTCATAAATTATACCATTCTCTCTCAAGAGCTGATGTGCTGTTGAAGCAACACAAGTTTTTCAAAAACTAATTAGTCAAATTGGAAATACTTTCCCATAAACTACTGAGGAGCACCTCAGTGCTTTTCTTTAACAACAATTGCACACCAACAGCAACATTTTAGTCTCTGTCCAGGCAGTATGGAAAAGAAACACCAAACTAACAAAACAGCCACCCCATAACTCCAAACAAAACCCAAAAAAAGTCCCTTGTGGGCCCCTGTACATAGGAGACAAGTTGGGGATTTTCCACTATGCCGGAACTCTAAACAACTGATCTATTTTTTAACTCACCATCACAAAATAAAGGCACAAAAGTATGAGTAATTTAGAGTTGCAAACAGAATTTAAGGGAAATCTTTACACAGTTCAAACTCTCCAATCACTACYGTTTCTTTTAGCATTCTGAGGGCTTTTCCTTGTGAAAACAAGCTCTGAAAAAAGTCCAAACAGATTAAATGACTAAGAAGTCAACTCAAGGTAATGTACATATTTTCATTGAAGAGCACCTGCTGCAGGGTATCTTATGGCAAGGCAGGCATTGATGCATCCTTGCATTCAGAAGTAGCTCCCACCATGGCCCCAGCAAGGATCAGCACTGAGGCAGGGAAAAAGTAGGCCTGATGTAGCTTTTCAAATTGATGCTGCTTGTGGAGAGGAACAAACAGCTCGTCTCCAACTGAGGGGCTGACTCTCGTCATTTATTCATGGCCAGCCCCCTGCCTGGATGGAAATAAAAATGTTTCAAAGATGACTGTGTGGGGGAGCTGGAGGACAGCTTGGAGGCACACTGAGGTTAGCACATTAATTTTTTATCTCTGGAGACTGGGTATCCAATTATGCTTAGAGTACACAAACAATTTTGGCTGGTCTCTCCAGTAGAGATTTACCCAGATAATAAAATCTGGGTAGAACAGGCTGATGCCATGAAATAATGTATGCAGGTGGTTTTTAAGGGCAGATGCTTAAGCTAGCAGAGGGACAGGAGATCACAGGAATGCATCCTCCTTAATGACAYGTACAGTGGATCAACCTGCACTCGGCAGCGAGGCCAGTGACAGCCTGCACAATGTCCTTTATTTAGGATTGTCATTGGCCAAAGTGCTTGTGGGTGTAAGATCCCGTTCAGCTGCTGTCTCTGCACAGCCACCTGTAATCAACGTTTCACACAGCAAAATGCCACTCAAAACTCTTCTCCTTTAAAGGAGGAASTTTTTCTCCATGTAGACACACTATCTTATTCTCTCAGGAATTAAGGAAGAGCATTTATACTAGTACACTCATTCACAGACACATTTCAATAGATAGAAGTGTAATGTAATTCCTATATCAGAAGTGCCTCAAAATTTGTGAGCACCAGCTGCCCCCAGAGCTGGCCTGTACCCATGGAGAGAGATGGAATAAAACAGCAGGTGTTTTGTGGCAGGCTTGGATGCACCCTGGGCTCACAAATCTCACGGTCTCAGTGCCAACATGTAGAGAAAAAGCCAACAGAGAAAAGGTCTGAGAATGGTCAGGATCATTTATTTTTTCAGGGGAGTTGAGGAAAGGGGGAGTTGACTTTTTTAAGGGTTTCCTGTAATTTCCTTTTTACAGTTCAATACTCAGTTAAAAAAATCAGAGAGTAGATCAGAAATAAATGTGTACATAGGCAGAGGCAAGACTAGACACTGAAGAAGGGCTATTTATTTGTGTCAAAAGGCTAGATAAAGCATACAAAGCAAGCCACTAAAGCTCAAACAAAACACAGGCTACGGTGCTTTCAGAAAGGCAAAGGCCAGACAAGACTGTTGAGCTATCTTTCATGTTGCAACTGGTAATCTATAGGTGAGGAAGAAGGATGGAAGGACAGAGATATGCAAAGAGATGTAAACAGACAAACCTTCTACACAGTCAAGGACAGTGAGATGTGCCAAGGAGGTGAGACTTGGGACTTGGGCCAGTCCCAGTTCTTTGATGCACACCCTATACAGTGGTTCTCAGTTTCAGGTAGTTCCTCCTATCTACATCTCTTTTCCAATCTGTGGATAATTTTCTGACCTACTCAAATTGGTCTGCCCATGAGATAGAGGGAACTGAATGTGAAGAGAGTAGGGCATCAATAGTTGAATCCTGCAGAAGCCCTGCTCCCTCCTGCATCACYAGGGCTGCTGTTCCTGCAGGTTCTGCAAGGAGTGGAAGCTGCAGAAGACTTGTGGGTACAAAGGTAGGAAGTGCATGCTGCAGCTGCCCACCTGAACTTTACAGACCTGGTGCTCCCTTCCCATGGCACAACAAATTCCAAATAGCTAGTTTGAATTTGCCTTGCCTTTTCTAAGTCAGTCTGTTCACATCTCTGACACACTGCTAGATAAATAACTGGATCTTACTTTATACCATGTCTCTAGTCCTCCTGTTCAGTGGGTTGTGGATTAGCTGTTTGGAATAACATCCCCCAACCTTCCCTCCCTCCCTCCCACCTCCCCCACGCGCCAAGCCCATGTAGAGAGGACTCTTGAAGCTCGAGACCTATGATGCTGCAGACCTGTCAAATCTAATTCATAACACGTGCCTAGCAGTTCTTAGGGGAGAGGAAGGATCTGATGCTCTGGCTCCCCACCATCCCCCTGTACAAAGGGACCATTTAATGACTGCATATTAGCAATGTGGACAATTAGCATTCACATGGAAGATAAATGGCAGCATAAATTAAATATAGCCAAGTGAAAGAGCAAAGATGCAAGATCTGAGCTCAAGGCTGTAAACAAACAGACAAAAAGGAACAAACAGCCTCTGCGACAGCTAAGCCATTTGGGACAGTTACCGTCCAGCATATGGGACTTTCCCCAAGGCTGATCWGCACATTTGCACGGCTGTTTCCCATATCTCACTGGCTCCTGGCTGGTTATTCTTTCCACTCAGGAATCTGGGCATCAGAGAAGTTTACCCCAATGGCTCTAAACTACTGCCTGCTTGTGGATCTGGGAATCAGCAACTTCTCTTTGCCACATACACCCCTTAGGAGCTCTGGGGGAACACAATCCCAAGCAGCTCTTGTGCTACTCTTTCCCACAGTGTAGAATGCACCTTTTTTATCATGGGCCAAATTTAGCTGCTCCTAACTTTASCATCACTTTCCTAGCTCTTCTTCCTAACATCTCTCATTCCCTAAGCACCAGAGCACATTCCCTTGGCACCTATGTCAAGCTGAATCCAGGGCAGGGACACTACCCTTCTTTGTTTGTGYATCTATTGCAAAGCCATTATTAATTTTAATTCAATACAGATTTGCAATATGCCTCTCARGTATGCAACTATTACTGACTACCACAGGCACAGGAAAACAAATAAACAAGCAAACAAAAAACCTCAAAGCTGATGTAAATGCTAAATAAACAAAAAAAATAAACAAAATAAATAAACAAACAAAATAAACAAATAAATAAACAAAAGCTGGTTGAACACTGTCATTTCCCTGCCTGCCCAAGCACTCTTAGYGCATTGACAGCTTGAGTTTATCAACAGCTGGAGGAGTCAAAATTACTTTTTCTGCAAACCTACAAAACGTGAATAACTAAAAGGTAGAGCACAAAAGTGACAGAAACATAGGGTTTGCCAAATGGGATCACACCAAACAGTCCTTCAAGCTCAGACAGTGGCTAGTAGCAGATGCTTTGGAGGAAGGAAGCCCCCTCCCACACCTCCCTGGGGACAATTATCAATTATCCTGCTTAGAAGAAAATGTTTTCCTACTTCCATATTTCTTGCCATTCTTAATGTATTAGAAAGTGTTTTCCTACATATTTTTCCCTATAAGCATTTTATTGCTTTATTACTTTCAACTAAAATAACACAGATCACATGCTGATCTGAAAGAACCTTTTGAAAGTGAACAAAGCTATCTACACAAATCCCAAGGTGACAGCACACATCACAAAGTATTGCACTCTGGAAAACAGTGAAAYAGGGGATTAGAGACTTGGAAAAATCAGTAACAGAACACAGTGTCCTTGACTTCCTGTTCTGTGCCTAAGAAGCGCAGAAAGGACAGTCAAATAGGGTGATGGACCTAATGCTCACACTGAGCATATGTGATTYATCACATAAAAATTCAGACCACTAAGATTTCTTCCAGCCTTGAACCASTGTGGGGCATTGAGGGGCATTCTCCCATCATGTTCCAGCTCTCCTCCTCGCAGATCAGTACTTATGTGTTTTCATAGATATATCAAACTGTAACTAAGAGGCAGCTTTTGGCAAAGTTGAGGGTAAGCTGTTTGTGCAGCAGGTGAAGGTGTAAGGGGGAAAGGTGCTGTTAGTTTCATACTGAAAAGCTAAGACATTGGGAAACATGTCTTACTAAAAGGCAAAACAAAGGCAGCCCCCTGAAACTACTGGATGTGTATTTCCTTGACATCCCTGCTAGGAGCCACTGGGAGGCTGCTTTATGATGGGCAGGCTGGGCATCTCTTCTTTTCCCCCCCTTTCCTTGCCACCTCCTCCCCACAGGAGCAGTAATAGAAAAGTGACTTGCTGCAGAGATAATGCTGGGTTTGAAATGAATTTCTGACTAGCTGAGCCAGCACCCGTGTGAGCTGTGGCTGATTAGCTCCAAGCATCCAGGTCCCAATCACTCACAACTGAGCCAGGCAATAACACCTGCCTCCACAAGGCAAAGACAGAGTGGAGGCAACACCCTGAAAAGGATCTCAAAGGCAGAGGGAAAATCCTACTCACGTTTGTGGTTTTCATTTCGGTGGACAGGGGAAGAGCGGGTCTCCTGCTCACGGGCTTCATCACCCTCTTCACTGGCAAGGTGGGTGTGAGCATAGTGGTAGCTCAGCCCAGGCCTGTTCTTGTAACGCTTGCCACAGACTGGATGGAAAGGAGATATGAGGGAGGGGAAGAGAGAATGGAAACATCAGTGTGATCTACAACCATGGCAGCATCCCCTCAAATAATGTTCCCTTTTCCCCTGAGAATAACACCACACATTCGGTGCGCCTGCCCAAAACTCTTCCACCTGGCACTGGTGAAAGGTGATGGAGGGCAGCCCCGCAGCTGCAGGTCCCCAAACAAGCTTTCTTCCCACCATGCTGCCAGCAGTCCTTCCCACAGGCCCAGGCAAATGCAGTTCGGTCCCTGCAGATCACAGAGCCCTAATCCTCTCTGCTAAGATTACTAACAAGACTGCACATACAATTAAATGAGATGCCGGTTCCAATGCTGGTGCTGCACAATGCACAGCAATGGGAACAAGACTGAGAAGAAAGGACATTATTTTCTTCTTACTGATCTCTGAAAAAAAGGCAACAGCTGAGATTTTTTTTTAAGACTTTCTCTAAAAGGTTAATAAATAGCTTTATTGCAGATTCCTAGTCAAGACAAGGAGATGGAAATCATCCACAGTTTCCTCCTCAAAGAACATGTGGTAGTGATACTTATTTGCCCAGGTAAACTTCATATTCAGCATCCCAATAAATAATAATGTGACAGAGAATTCAGCTTCTGAACTTTCATTTATTTAAGGACTAAGTCAACAGATATTAAGGACTGAATCAAACAACTCAGGGTGATGAAAGGTCTACACTTTCAGAGGGAGCTTACAGTAAGGGAATGCAACATCATAAGATTCTTTATATATGAACCAATTTTCTATAAAGTTTTTAATTCATGTTATTGTCTCAAAAAGTTATCACTTTTCATCTTCAAAGCAATCTGAATGTCCATTTTCTTTTATACAGCTATTTTGTCCACCAAATTAAAATATTGCCATTTTAAAATATTAGGAAACAAAGTCAAAAAAGCTTAGTGCAGTTCCTGTGAGTTTTCACTCCCACAGACATTTTCAGCCACTTTATTACCTTAATTAACCTCAAGGATTCCACAAAGGAATAAATGTCATGTCCAGTAGTCTGTCCTGCATAGCTTGCTTAGAAGGCCAAAGGAAGTGGTGCCAGAAGAGAGAACAGAATCTTATTTTTAGACCCCCCTGAAAAGGTTCTCCAAGGGGTAAGTGACAATCCAATCCTAAACACTTCAGTTGACCCCAGTATGTATCCTGCAACATATATAGTTACTTGCTTCCCATTCTCCAGACACCTGCATCTGGGAATGTCAAAGATTCCACAGATAAATATTTTAAAATTTGAAAAAGACAAAAACAAAACCCCCTCACCCCATTTATTCATTTACATATAAATAAAACTTCAAATTTTATACCTTTCTGCTACTACTCAGAAAACATCCATTAATGTTCCACATTTTGGAACAGATTATACAAAATTTTAAATCAAAGCCTAGTATGATAACATATTTAATTCTCAATCTCTTCAAGCTGATTTACAAACTCCCTCAAGGAAAATACTTTGCTTTATTAGAAACATGTAAAACAAGCTCATGATATGCATGAGTGATCTGGAATATTAGATGCTTTTATCCCAGGTTTCTTCATTGTGCAAAGTRAGAATTACAGAGAGTCATCATAACAACACAGAAGGTTTTCTGAAATGTAGTATGTCCTGTCCTCAGTCATAGTTTTTTTAAAGTCTTTGAATGGCTTTGATTTAGAAATGAGACCTCCTGCAGGAGGGAGGAGGGAATGTTGAGAGAAGTAAGATACTCATATAGATATGCACATCCATTCTTTGAATCATCTGCCTTCATTTCCTATGTAAACCTAACTCCATTGCCAGACATTTTGAAGAACTAGACTGTTGTTGGATGCATGCTCTCCACAAAACATCAGTTCAGTCTCCCTTCTTCTAGTACCATCCTTGTTTTCTTCCAGTGCATTCTGGAGAGGGAAACTACTCCTCCTTCTCTGTGGTCCTGCAGGGCAAAGGACAAGCAGTGGAACAGATGCTGAACAAGAGTCAAAAYAACAAGATATCTGCAGTTCTGTATGACTTTCCCCATGTTTTGAATAGTGGAAAAAGCATAACACTTAAGCAATCATCAACCCRGAGAGAGCTCAGTGCTTAAATTCTTTTAGAGCGGTATCCTCCTCTAATTACATAAATGTCGCAGAATTCCTTAGAATGGAGAAAGATTTACATTTCTAGCAGATTGACCATMTGCCAGATGAGCTGCATAGGCTCATCAAGTATCCTACTCTAACCCACTTACTTTCATGTGTTTGAAGAAGAGTGTTAAAAAATAATTCTATTGCTATGAAGCACCAGTACTGCTCAAAGACTTCTGTCAAATTATTTCTGGAACACTATCAGGTGATCAATGCATAAAAGGAAACTTGCATTCCCTGCAGCAAGTCCCAAACTGTGGTGTTTACTCCATTCCTTACAGAATCCTGCAGAGATTTTAGCTATGGAGCTTAGGATAACATAGGAAATCAGATGGGTGCAGACTCATCCTTCCCCAGCAAAAAAGTATCAGCTCACCAGGAAAAAGCAAGTATCAATATAAGCTGAGGCAGTAGTAATTCTGCAGCTGAGCCCTTCCCATTTGTGAGGACTTTGAGGTGGCCTTCAAGGGTGACAGCAATCTGAGACATGCCTTGTGAGGTATCAGTTTGGAGGACTTTAAAATCAGAGCTGAGGCAAAGGAGTTTTGTTTACATTGTCCTAGCAGATCCTTTGTAGGACCAAAGGTTTACAGTTCCAGCAGCCTTTGTTCTTGACGTCKAGATTTTTCCATTTTTCAAATTCAAATTCTGTCATGAAAAATGTGCGAAGCAATGCCATGAATTAAAACTGCAGAGAYTTCATGTTCTTCAAAAAGACTAGACTTTTGCAGGGGAAAAAGGGTCATGATATTAGTCAGGCAAAAGAACCATTGGCTTCAGTGACACTTTGCTAGAATGAAAGCTAAATCAGAACTTCATGGTTTCTTCAACAGATTGAATCTTCCTGAATTCACCTTAATCTCTTATTTTCCAGGTAAGAGCACATTTTATTAATCTACCATATCAATGTGCTAAGAAGTAGTTTCTATAAAAGGGTGATCATTAATAAACACTTAGCTCTTATATAACTCTTCCCACTGCAGACTGGCTTTTCAAACATTAATTAATCTTCCTCCACATCACTGAGTGGGAAATACTATTCTCATTTCAGTTCTGAAAAAAGAGAACCGCAGAGGGGCTGAGTTGCCCACACAGTGATCTTTTTTCATTACAAGGACTGGAATTCATGAGTTGCAGCATCCACACCAGTGCTTACACCACATCTTTCTCATTCTCAGAGCTGACAAAAGCATAATAAGAACTGGTTCTCCCAGTCTGTATGCTGTTGATTAGTTTTTAACGCTATGCAGCTCACACATAGCGAGTAAGAGTGTGCCTTCCATMAACTTTGCTGAGTGGCCTTGCCTTTCAGCAGCTTTGACTTTTTTATCTTCAATTTTCCTTGCTGGATAGGCTCATCATCCTTGCATGTGGTAGATTTCATCCTGAATCTCAACACTGGGAAGTTGACTTCATCTTTAATTAGGCAGCCAAGCTCAATGAAAACAGTGGGAGTTTGTGGAACGTAACCCACTCTGATTCCTTCTGCATTCAAAGGATATATTTTTGCTATGACCTGATATGAATGCTGCCTTAGGAACAAGCTGGGTACATAAGCAGCAGTACAGCAGTGCAGACCAAATGTCACAAATGGGGAAGAGGGAGATATATTTTTTTATGAGACAACAGACAGTCTCTATGACGAACCTTACTTTCCTTCAGATTTGAAGACTGATATGAAGATGTTACATAACTGCATTATGGAGGGGGAAACATAATTTGCAGACAGTATAATTGCAAGCATTGGGAGTTAAATAAAAGAGAGCTCTCTTCTAAGTTCTGGGCTGTAACAACCTCCAATTCTTTGGATAAGCAAATTCTCACTGTTAATGTTTCTCAATGAGTAAAATTAATATAAAATACTTCCCTAGTTAAAAAGGGGATTTTGAAACCTATGACTTAAAAGATTTCCTCATCAAATATCTAATGGCTGTGTTGCTGTCATTTTGAAATAGTTACACATTTGGTCCTTGGCAGCCTGTGAGCTGTGTTCCAGCCAGCTCTCCACATACATTTTGCACAATCTGTCACCAGTATGAGACAGAAGGAAACAATCCATGGTTTTAGTGGAAACAGGAAACTAGAGGAGTACATGCTGCTTTTTTTTCTTGGTTACTGAATTTTGTCCCCCTCATTGTCTTTCTTTGCTTTCCTCCATTGCCTCCTGTTTTTTCTTCTCAGCTGTGCTGTATCAAATACTAAATCTTGAGTTAACTTCTGGCAGGCAGTCATTCTTCACATTTATCTTCCTGTCCTACCATTCACTCCACTCAAAAAAAAAAAAAAAAAAAAAAAACAACCAAAAACAAAACAAAACAAAACAAAAAAAAACAAAAAAAAAAACCCAAACAAAAAACCCCTGCCCTTGTTTTGCATCAGTTTGGTAATATATTTTCCCATGGTTACATTTGTGTACACACTCCAGCACATCTAGTGATCTCAAACACTAACACTAACATTTTGACCTCCACTGACAGAAAGACATTACATTTGTCACTTTTTTGRTCAGTACTGTCACATTATACACCTGTAGTATGACAGCAGCTATTTAGTAACCCATCCAGCAGGGAATTTTCTGTAGGTAGAATAGGTAAATAGTCCTTGTTTCAGTGCCCCCAGAGGACAAGTCCCAGAATCTACCTGCTGTATTAAGATCACAGTAACTTTGAACCCCATTGCAAAACATGCACAGGACAACAATACATCTGTGCAAATTTCAATAAGTGTGTTGCTAGCAGGAGCAAAGGAGAAAACAACTATCCTACATGAGTAGAAAAAGTTCAGCTATCAGAGTCAGCTCTGTTCCCCTCTTACCATGTGCTCCACTCCAGATCTGCATTATTCAGTATTT